TTGAAAAATCAACCAGCCATCGGAACTCTCCTGTATTTGTTGTTAAAAAGAAATCTGGAAAATGGAGAATGGTGACAGACCTAGAGCTGCCAACAAGGTAATTCAACCTATGGGCCCTCTACAATCTGGAATTCCTCTGCCTTTATTACCAGAGGATGGCCTCTCATAGTTATTGACTTAAAAGACTGTTTCTTCACTATACCTTTACAAGAAAAGGAAAGAGAAAAACTTGCCTTCACAGTGCCTACTTACAATAATTCTCAGGTAAAGTAGGAGATATCAATGGACCGTCTTCCCACAGAAAATGCTGAATAGCCCCACCCTGTGCCAATATTTTATAAGTCAACCATTGGAAATGGTATGCAAACAATTTCCTAAGTCTATAATTTATGATTACATGTATGACATTTTGCTATCCAATTCAAATACAGACACTTTAGAAAGATTGTTTGAAGAAGTAAAGAAAGCTTTGCTTAATGGGGATTACAAATTGCTCCCTAAAAATACAAAGAGGAGATTCTATCAATTAGGAGAGACCAATAGCAAACTCCTAATGACTTTCAAAGATTGTTAGGAGAATTCCAATCTATGACTCACTGTTGGGATAACACCTGATCTAGTAATTCATTCAAACAATACTGTAGATGGTGACAAAGACTTAAACAGTCTCAGGGAATTAACAGCTGAAGCTAAGAAAGAATTAACTTTGGTTGAAATTACAGAAGACACATGTAGATTGGGTAGATCCAAATCTTAACTGCATTCTAGTCATATTGCCCTCCAGAACTTCCCCTACAGGAATTTTAATGCAGAGGGAAGATATTATCTTAGAATGGATGTTTTTATCACATAATCTGAGTAAAAAATTTATGTGGAAAGGGTCTCTGAATTAATTAGAAAAGGAAAATTAAGACTTCCTCAACTCAAAGGAATAAACCCAGCAGAGACTACAGTGCCTTTTACTACTGATGAAATTTAAAAATTATGGGAAGACAATGAACCCTGGCAAAGAGCTTGCACTAAATTTTTTTTAGGAGAGATTAATAGCAATTATCCCCAAAGCGATAGAATTAACCTTATAAAGAGAACTACTTGAATTTTTCCCCACACTGAACATGATACATCACTAACTGGAGCCCACAATTCTATACTGATGCAAAAAAAAAATCAGTAAAGGCAGGTTATAAATCTGAAGACTTAAGTAAGGTAGAAAAAAGCCCTTATAATTCTGCCCAATTCTGTCCAAAAGACAGAATTATATGCTATTCTCATGGTACTAAGGGGTTTTAAAGAACCTTTCAATATGGTTACTGATTTGCCAAATGTACAAAGAGTTGTCTTGAATATTGAAACTGGTGAATTTATACCACATGATACAGAATTGACTTCATTATTCATTCAGGTTCAAGATATAATCAGGAAAAGGCTTTGTCACATATACATAACACACATCCAATCCCATATGGGTCTGCCAGGTCTTCTAGTACAAGGTAATGCAGAAATTGATCGATTATTGATTGAAGGCCTCAGAATTTCATAAGAAACATTATGCCAATAGCAAAGGTTTAAAGAAGAGTTTTCTATTACACAGCAAAAAGCTAAGGAGATTATGATGAGATGTTCTACTTGCTCTTTCTATAACCAAATACCGTTACCTACAGGGAGTAACCCAAAGGAATGAAATCTGGCAGATGGATATGTTCCACTTTGCAGATTTTGGAAAATTAAAATATGTATATCTCACCATTAATACTTATTCAGGTTTTCAATAGGTAGCTAACTGTTTTGAGCTCAGATAAGGTTGATTCAGTAATCACATGTTTATTATAGAAATTTATGGCCATAAAGGGTATACCTGCACAATTAAAGACACATAATGGTCCAGTATATATCTCTAAGAAAATGAAACAGTTTTTTGCTTACTATAATATAAAGCATATTACAGGTATACCAAACAATCCTACAGGTCAGGCAGTTATAGAAAGATTAAATCGAACTATAAAGGATATGTTAAACAAACTAGAAGGGGATGGGAAATACCCACAGAAATAGATTGCATAATGTTTTATTAACCTTGAATTTTCTTAATGCTAATGAGAAAAGAACAATGTCAGCAGAGAGACATTGAAAACTTCTACATTAAATCAGTCAGTATATTTCAAAGATGTGGTGATCTCAGAATGGAAACCAGGAGATGTGCTGGAAGAAAAGTTATGGATACCATCAAAATAAAGATTCGGTTTGAAAAAGAGAAACCTCTTGATACAGAAAAAATGACAGCTCATTCACAGAGGTGACAATCATAAGGATTGGGGGCAAGGTTCTGTTTTTTAATTTGCAGGAAAATATCCATCTTCAAAAAAAAAAAATTTGAAAGACCTTCAACATCTAGATGCCTAAAGGAGAAACGATAACTTTCCAGAAAGTGTCACTAAGTAAAGAGAAATCTGACTTATGATCACATATCATCTACAGGGTGAAATTTCATTACCTGAACATGTATACATCTCTACTTAAAAATTAAAGCTGGCTTTGGAGTTGGACAATGGCTATCCTTCTCTAAATCCAAGCATGTTGTTAAAAGAAAAATTCAGAGTTTCTGTCTCTTATCAGGAGTCATATGGTATGAGATAGAAAGAAGAATTTAGGAAAGATTTTATTTTTCCCATAAATATTTTTGTCTCTATCGTACCTTTCATTGAATATATGCCTATGTGAATAATGTTTAAGTTTTCTACAATGAACAATAAATTTTCCTGCAGTAATCTTTGAAGTTTCCAGGAAAAAGATGGGACCCAGAAGAACAATTCCACCTGGTTGATATGACGTCATGATGCTGATAGCGCTACTTTAAGATCAGTTTTGGGTACCAGTTGCTCACAATGATTCCAACTTGGTTAGCTGAAATGGTGCAAATTCTTACAATGTTCTGGCCAGAACTTCTAATAAGAACTTCAGAAAAACCCTATCAACTATTCAGAGACTATCTGCAATTATACCAGACAGCAATCTTGAAAAGCAATCTTGAAAATTAACCATCATTTTAGTTTTACAGGATCCCATAGAAAGAACAGCAACCCCATGATAGCTGGAAGTAATTCTAGAAGACAATGTCCCTTCTCCAGACAAAGTTTGTCCCCAGGCTTAGGGACATCAATTACGGATTGACTATAATTGGTATAGGGTTGGGGTGGAAATTATGTAGGCTCAGGGATCTCTTTGCAGGGGGGGGAGGGGGAGAGATTAGATGGGAAAATAGGTAGATTAGTGTGAGCTTACTTACACTAGTAATAATAGGGAATAACAATGAATATTTGTGAGCTATTATTTATAAACAATTTACATTGGTATAGATTCTCGTATATTGATACAAATTCAAATTATATTTGTTATATGGAAAATGCTATTTCTGTTTACAGTAGTTGTACACCTATGCAAAATTATTTTGTTATATTGTATGCATGCATGTTTCTAACTCTGCTTAAGACATTTGGCATACTGATACAATTTTAGAATATATTTATCATATTGCAGTATACATTTCTACCTCTGATCAAGATACTTATACATTGTTTACATTTTGAGGTCACTGCCCTCATTTGCTGCACAGTTGTTTAAAGATTGTTTAAATATGTGGTCTTACTCTTTAAGCTATACAGGTATTAAGAATTACAGGTCAATAGTATCCATGTTTGTCATACTTATAGTTAGACTAATCAGGCTCTTTAGATACATAAAGATTATATTCCACATTTACAGGTAATCTTCAACTACTTCAAAGAACTGTAGAATATACCATTTAAATAACTTAGGGTTATGTTGACGCAAGACAAAATTGCTTCTGGTAGCACTCATCTATTCCCGAGTGCCACTTGGGAGCTTGTTTTCTTCTTGGCAAAACTGGCCTTTGGGCAAAGAACTGTCCATGCCTCAACCATTGACAAAATGCATGGTGTCCAGACTGGACAAGCAGGATACAAGAAAAAAGACTGCCAAACCTTGCCAAGACAGGGTAAGATGGTTTTGAAATTTTTCCTGCCTCTGACAGTGGTCTGTCAGTTACTCTAGGCCTTAGCCAAAGGTGGCTGCTCCAACGTTGCAAATGAGACTCTGGGTGATTACCCAGGTAGCCAGTTATCTTCTTATATTTACTGCACATTTGGAAGTTGCTTGATTGTACTTTCTGTTTACTCAAGTAATATTATTTTCCTTCCCATGTATTCGATGGAGTTGAAGACTAGATAGTCATAGTTACTTTACTCTCATGACTTAGCTAATTAATTTCTAATACAAGACTTAGAGACCTTAGGATAGGATAATTATTAATACATTTAGCATATGTTTCTTGCTTGATATTGTTTATGATGGCTGTAATTCTGATTTTTATACTTAACAAGTGATGCACAATTAATAAAAGCTCAGAGACTGAAATTGGGGTCCAACATGAAGATCCAAAAAGGAAAGTAAAGTAGCCACTGGCTCTTACCTTGACCTCAGTAAAAAATGATGAACCTGCATTCAGGAATCTCAGAATAAGACTGTGTGTGATTGCTTTTTCCTTCTATTTTATAATCCTCTCTAGTTCTGGGATTAAAAGCGTGTATCACCCAGTTTCTATGGCTACTAGTGTGGCTACTGACATTAAAGGTGTGTGTTACCATTACCTGGTCTGCTTTTTCTCTCAGCTCTTCAGGCAAGCTTTATTTACTAAAATACAATTGAAATGCCACTACAGTTCATCACACACCACTTGCCACCACAGTCTCCTTAACTCATCCACAGCCTGGAAATGTCATTTGGCAATCCCTACACATCAGTCAAAGGCACATAAATGGAAGAAAATATCTCTTCAACTTCAATCTATATTTCCCATCTATTTCCCTGTACTTCATGGTAACCACTTACCTCAATAATGTCAAAGCAATAACCAAGCCAAGATCCCTTTACCCAGTAAGAAGAAAAGATGGTCCACAGGGCTAGTAGTTTCGACAGACACCTACCCGTGCTGTTCTGTCATCATACTCCTCATCAGACATCAAAAAGTTACAGAGTCCCCTGGTGGGTATGCTGGTGTTCTCCGTAATCCAGGTATGCAGGTACACTTCTCCGAGGACCCGCTTCATATGCTCCCTCGTCAGGTGCATCTCCACAGCCTCAATCTTCCCTTGGATCTCAAGGAGCTTTTCCTCTATGGGTTCACGGCCTCCGGTGTCTCCCACGGCAGTGAGTGAGTCTTCGGGGGGCTCCTCTGTGTCACCCTCTTTGCTCCTCTCCTGCAGGCCTGCCTTGGTCCCCTGCTTGGAAGTGCCTTCTTCCTGCTGTTCATCCTCACCATCGCCCATCCCAGGTGAATCAACCAGTAAGATTTTTGAGTCCTCGTGGGTGGGCTTCCATAAGGCCTCTGAAGGGGATTTCTGCATTGACTGATACAAAATCCTTAGGAGGAAAAGCTTAAACCGCCAAAAATAGGTGACCCCACTGCTTTCAATCTTTTTTTCCAAAGCTTCATGTAAAAATTGAGGAATATGTTTATCTTTTAAAATTTTCCAGCGGACTAGGTCAATTAAGTCCACCTGCTTAAAGAGATTCTGAACTGAAGATTCCAAGAGCTGAGCAGCTGCTTCTTCAAAGGTCTTGAGAGTAACAAACTGGACCTGGTAGTTCTTGTTCACGGGATGGAGGCCATTGATCATGCCTTCAGTGGTGATGATGGCCAGATATGCACCACAGGGGCTCACTGCAATGCCATGAGTCCTCACTGAGCCAAATACATCCGAGAGTTTAATCAGCTGGTGTTCAAACTTCAATGCAACATCTGTGAAAATAGGAATCAACTGCCTCACCTTCCCATCACTAGAACAGGTGTACACTGTTCCATTCTGCTTATCTGCAGTCATGGAGACGATAGGCAGTGAGTGAAGGCCTGTGACATGGGAGTTGTGAACATTCAGACCAGCCTTTGAGATCAGAAGAAGACACCAGAACACATAGGAGCCTCTTGCTGCTACCACTAAGCTACAGCTACACTTCTGGTAAGGATGATAAAGTGGCACACATTTGATGCTATGCACAGGCAATTGGTCCATTTCTTTCCACAAGACAACAGGCTGCCTTAAAGTGAAGTAGCCTTTGACTGCTTTGAGATTGACAGGGAGAATTTTCACCGGTCCAAAAGCACTGCCTACAATAAGGCCACTCATTTTCCGATTATTGTGCTCATATTCCCACCAAAACAAAACACTTGGGGAGCTGATTCCTGACTCAATGGTGTTGCATGAAGAGATGGACTCTTTTCCCACGAATGGCAGCTGAAACTGCCAAACAGCTATATTCCCGTTCTCAAAGAGGACAGCCAGGAGCACACTGCCCACATCCCGGCACTCATTATTGTGCTTGACTTGCTGAGTGGTACAGATTCCTGACCATTCCATTCTGACTGGGGTCTGCATGCTGTGTCTCCTCTGAAACTCAGCAAAATCCCCAAGATTTCCCCCGGGACCCTCATTTTTAGAGAGTCTATAACTGGTTTCATAAAGACGTTCTCCATAAATCTCAGTCAGATCAACCAACTGAACCCACTGGAGTCTGTTGAGGTTCACCTGCACAGTCAGGCGATTGTCCATGGTCAGTGCTGCCAAGAGGCACCTGCCATTTGCATCACAACCCATGGGAGACCAACTTGTGTATTTGAAGCCCCGCATTGGGGGTAACGCCTTCCCCTCGGGGTTGAACATCCTGTCCAACATGAAAGTCTGGCTGATGGTGGGGTCTTTAGAGGAAGCAAACTTCTCCTTGCACTCAGCAACTTCTGTTTTTGAACCAACCTGAAAATAAGACATACAGAAGCTATCAGGTAAATATTCACATGTAGTAACTGCTTTCCATTAACATATAAAACAATTTTATATCAATTCTGGCAATTTTGGCATTATATGCATTTAAAAGAACAAACAGCCAGGTTTGGCAATGCACACTTGCTAATATAAACACACTGGAAGCCGAGGCAGGAAGATCACAAGTTCAGTCAGCCAAAGTTGAGGTAGAACAATTCTATCTTAAAATAAAGCAAACAAAAATAATGATTTGATATGATTAAGCATAATAATAATTATGTGTAAAGATTAAATGTGCATTTACTAATTGTTTTTTTTTTAAGATTCAATAAATGTGATTATTCATGGCTTGGTTTCCAGATTCTTCTTGGAATTGGCCTACGGAATAGACAGTTGATTTACAAGAGTGAAGGGAACACTTAGTTGAGACAGTCACAAAACAGCAGCAGTTTTAAAAGTCAGGGAAATATGTATGTATATTCATTTTTGCTACATTAGATAGTTGTATTTTGTAATAGCTTTGTGACATATGCTGAAGATCAAACCAAAGGCCTCACGCATGCGAAGCAAATGTTCTTCTACCACTGAGCTCTGGTTTCTGCTGTGCTTGTGTTCTCCAGGTTAGCTGGCTGGGTCAGCTTCCCCATGATGCTTCCATCTCACTATAGCAATGCTGGGATTACAGATGCAAGCCATTACACATCACATTGGGCTTTTTCAAGTATGTTCCGGGAACTGTCTAAAGTCATCAGGCTTCTGCTTTTAGGCCACTAAACCTCCTCATTAACCAACTCTAGGCCTTTTAATCTGCAGTTTCTTTAACATATCACACGCATTTCAAACACCAATTTCCCTGTCTACTCTTGCTACAAGTAAGATGGCTCCTATCAGACTTCTCTATTCCACCCACCACTTTTCCTGGCTCCTTTACCTAACTTGCTCCTGCTCATATATCCTACCAGGTTTAGTCCTATGAGGGCTCAGGTCATTCTAGCTTTGCTTCACACACACCCACTCCGCGTCTAGGTCTGTAACACATGTCAAGTGCTCAGCCAAATGATGAAAGCTCTGAAGAAAATTTTAAATTGATAGTAAATATAGAGGAAGTTGTAAATGACTAAAACAATAGCCAGGAAGGCTAAAGCAAAAAAACCAACCAACCAACCAAACAAACAAAAAAAAAACCCAAAAAACAAAACATAGGTTGAGCTAAAGATACTTTCACTATACTGAAAGGAAGAAGAACTTCATCTACTGTTTTCAGAAACACAAATAAAAGGCAAAGTGTACTGGTACACATCTGTAGTCACAACATTTGGGACACAGAGTTAGTAGTATTACCCCAGCAAGCTTCAGGCCAGTCAGGGATGTGGCCAGCCAAAGAAACCAAAGGAGAAAAGTAAAGTAAAAAACAAAACAAAACAAAACAAAACAACAACAACAAAAACTTTCCATTTTGATTTTAGTGCCAAAAACAAAGGAGAAAAGTAAACAAACAAAAAAATCCTTTCTATTTTAATTTTAGTGCCAACTTTTTAAAGAAACTTGGAAATGGAAGGGTAGGACATAATTAAAAGGGAATTCAAGTCCTTTTTAATATATGGATTTAATAAAAGTGACTTGATGTAAGTTACCAAGCACTGAGGCTAAACTCTAGAACACAGGCAGAACTTGGAAAATAATCACTAAGAAGCAGTGCCTACATCCCAGCAAAGTTTAAGGCACTATTTTAAAAGATCTTTCAAATGTTAAGTGTATATAAGCTGTTAAGTCTAATTAATGACAAAATTCCTCAACCTATCAGCAGTGAACAGTATTCGAGGTAGCAACAGAGCTGGGGACATGGCCCAGTCAGTAGAGTTTGCCCCACAAGCACAAAGAAACCAAATTTAAACCCAGAACTCATGCCAAAAGTTAGGTACAGCACGATGAACTTGGTGAGGCAGAGGTAGATTTCTAGAGCTCACGAGGCAACTTCCTAGAAAAGATGTCTACGGAGAGTTAAGTTTTGGAAATGCCCAATATTACTCACTAGCCCTCCTAGAAGTAATGGGAGCATATAAAATGCCTTGGCCAGGGAGCCACTGTAAAAACACGTTTAACCTAGGCAAACTTCTTTTTAAAGTAGAACCTTGCAGGTTTTGAAACAGAACCGAAGCCAAAATATCCTAATTTTATGGCATTTAGAGACAGAGGACAACACTGATCTTGACCAGCAGGGTAATTTTTAACACATAACTAAATTCAAGTTGTTTTAGTTGATTCCATCTCCCTTCCCAACTCTTTCCATCACAAAAACCAGTTAGAAAATGTAAACAAGCACTTAGATGTCGTCCAATGACCTAACCACTTGAAAGCTGAGTTTCCATACGCTGCAAGAGCCCATCACTCAATCATGCACTCCTGAATTTCAAGCTGACCGCTACCCATATAAAAGTTGACACAAGAAGCCCCATCTGAAACTTTAAGTAGCAAGGAGCTACCTCAAGACAGAGAATGTGTGATTTCCAAACACAGACAACAGTCATTTTGCGTAGCAAGCACAAATAAGCAACTGATACACAATAAGACTAGCTCATAGGGCTGGAGAAATGGCTCAGTAGTTAAGAGCATTGCCTGCTCTTCCAAAGGTCTTGAGTTCAATTCCCGGCAACCACATGGTGGCTCACAACCATCTGTAATGAGGTCTGGTGCCCTCTTCTGACCTACAGATATACACACAGACAGAATATTGTATACATAATAAATAAATAAATAAATATTAAAAAAAAAAGACTAGCTCATAGAGAGCATTAGGATTTGGAACTGTATCAGTAATCTAATGGGAAAAAACTTAGACTTATTCTCTTTAAGATTTAATTTTTTATGTGTATGAGTGTTTGCCTACATGTATGTATTTGTACTATATGTGCATGCCTGGTGCCCACAGGCCAGAAGAGGGTGTAAAATCCTCTAGAACTGAAACTGCAGATGGTTGTAACCTGTCCAATGTGGGCTGGGAACTGAACCCAGGTCCTTAGCAAAAGCAGCAAAAAGCTCTTAACTGTTGAGCTATCTTACCAGTGCTGTGACTTATTCTTAAGTTACATTTTCTTGCTTTTAATTATTTTTATTATTCAATTTTTTATCATACAATTTCAACCTCCAAGACAGAAACTTACAAATAGCTGACAATCAAAGTTTGAGCTGTGATCTAACAGAATTATAGAGCAACAGCTTCAAAAGCTGTTTAGTTCTTTAGCTGTGCTACATAATAAAAAAAAAAATCATACCCTAGGTTTCAAATTATCTGCTATTTGAGTAGAAGCAATAGCTAGTTGGAAACACTGAATAGATTTAAATCTCTAGGAACCATCACTATGTAGGGCACAGAAGAACTGACAGACTTCTTTATATTCATACTGCAACAATGAAGACCTCTTCATGTAAACTCTATCAATTAGAGCGCTATATAAAGACTTTCTGCTATTTAAACAGTGTGGCAAATGCCAAATGTAGCAATATTTCAGTCAAGTTATCAGAATGTTAGTATCACCTTCAAACTCACGCTTACCAAACTAACGCAGACTTTCCTTCATGCCTATATATTCCTATCTTGCGCACTACCATGTACTCAATGCCAGACATTAAGTGATAATGTTCTATTATGGTGGGTTTTTTTCCGAGACAGGGTTTCTCTGTAGCTTTGGAGCCTGTCCCGGAACTAGCTCTTGTAGATCAGGCTGGTCTTGAACTCACAGAGATCCACCTGCCTCTGCCTCATGAGCGTAATGGGGTTAAAGAAGTGTGCCACCACCACTTGGCCTATTATGTTCTATGCATGGATTAAACTTAAGTCTCCATAAAGCCTAAACAAGGCAAACTTTATTATTTCTGTTTTATAGATAGGTCCATCTTGTGCCAAAACTCAGTGCCTCTCTCTCTCTCTCTCTCTCTCTCTTGTTTTCTTTTTTTGAGACCAGTTTTTCTGTGTAATAGTCTTGGCTGTCCTGTAACTCTGTAACTCACTCTGTAGACTAGGTTGGCCTTGACCTTACAGAGATCAGCCTGCCTCTGCCTCCTGAGTGCTGAGATTAAAGTGCCTTTAATCTGTGTTGGAGCCCACAAGACCATACAGTAAATTACAGCTGACAGATTCATAAAGGCAGATCCATAAGTGTACAACTTATGGTGCAACCTGTTTCTAGAGCTGCGGGAACACTTTTCTTTTGGAAAAGTGGCTGTCATATCTTGAGTGGAAATCTTGTGAAGGAAGCCGTGCTTCTTCCCTTTGAAAAGGGATTCATTCCCAAAATACCTCAGCAGTGTGACTTCTGCATGGCAAAGGGTGACCTTGCTCCATTTCCCCACACCACGAGGCCTTGGAGCAATGACGTCCATTCTTTGTTCTATGTAGGCCCATATTTCTATATGGCACAAGAGCCTGGTCTGAGCTGATCGTGTAACTCTGCAGACAAGCTGTCTCTGTTTAACAGTAGCCAGGATGTGCTGCTCCTAGTTTCTTTTGTTATAAATGTAGATTACCTGAGAAGAGATGTTGGCTGAAGCTGATGACTTAAGAATTAGGAGATTTAGTGCTTCCTCCCTTTGTAATTTGGAGGATGTCTTATAGAGATGCTAATTCATGGCCTACCTGACTGCTAGCATACAGGTAGATATGGTCGTGACTTGAGCCCAGGCACCTGGTTGCCTAGGAGACAGCCTAATGTGTTTTCCGGCTCAATTGATGTGATGATATATAAGGTGTTTGGATAATAAACGAGAGATCTTTGGTTTCCATGATGACCGTATAAGCTGTGTCGGTTTATTCCTCGTGACTCCGTTCCAGTCCAGTTAGGGAATCTGTGTTGGACCCACACAGGCCCCAACAGTTCTAACAGTCAAATTTACATAGTCAATCCCACAAAGTTACCTGCTAACAGAGCACATAGGAATTTCTATAGAAGATAGGCACTGAGCAGGAAGGCAGCATGCCCTACCTTTGCTAACAAATCTGGGCATCCCCAAAACTGGTTATCACCCAAGAGATTAGATAAGGAGAATGGGTGAATCAGGATTCAGGGATGTTTAGAAACTTTAGCTAAAGGTTTAGAATGTCAGGTACTTCCCCTTGAATGCTGGCTCTTTCCTGGTCAGGCCACCTGTTCCAGACTGAGGCTAGTACTCAAGACCCCAATAGCACTGCTTGGCTAAAGCCCAGTCTCATCCTCAGCCCAGCAAGTATTTCTTTACCTCTAGCTCAGGCAGCCTCACACCCCTGAACTATACCCTCATAAAACTGAAACAGCACTCAAGAAACGTCTTCAACTAACCTTCCTAGTTCCTACTGGTAGTATCATTTTCTCTGTAGAAGAAATACTCAACAGGTGATCCATCAATACTAAAGCAACAGCTACACACACGGCTTAAAGATCTATCTATGTGCTTGAGCTAGACGCCTTACTTGTCACCTGGGTGGGCTTTATGAGTTTTTTTTGGAGGGGTGGGGTTCTCGAGATAGGGTTTCTCTATGAAATAGTCCTGGCTGTCCTGGAACTCACTCTGTAGACCAGGCTGGCCTTGAACTAACAGAGGTCTGCCTGCCTCTGTCTCCCGAGTACTGGGATTAAGAAGATTTTACACATGGCTTAGTCAGTCAAATTGATTACTCAATTCAATCTGTAAAATCCTAATCCCAGGTAGGCTTATCAAGACCAAAATGCTATTTAAAAAAAAAAAAGGATATTATCCAATTCAACATTGTGTTTGAAACTTGAATTAAGCATGCTGAAAAGCACTCATGAGGGCTACTCAAAGTGTACCCATGACTAATAGCCCAGATTTGGAATGGCTGTCTACAAGAGTGTGGAAAAACTTTCCTTTCAAATAAACATAGTGCCACATGGGTGAAGAGCTTTATAGCACTCCTTGCTCTTTGACTAGATTGTCTGCTCATAACCTGAAAGGATGTAAGTTCCTTGAGGACTGTTCTCTACCCTGGTTTATCCCAGCACCTCGGTAGGCACTCACTCTGACAGATTACATACTACATATACACACAGAGCTATACAGGAAATCAGAGTAAGCTTTTATATTACTAGGCTACAAAAAAGGAACGACATCACTCACTACTTTAAAATACACCATGTCTGGAAAAACGGTGACATCAACACAAAACTTTAGAAACTCGAAAGTTCAGGGACAAACTTGGGTTATATGATGTTGAAGGCACTAAATTTACAGAGACCTTGGACTTAGAAGTCTAAGCGCTGTCTGTTCCCTGAGGTTTTATTTTTCGTTCCACTTTCAAAGATCGAGATACAAACCCCTATTTACCCGTCTACCCAGGGAGACACAAGGACCATTCACAATTAAATCGCCAAACAGGTAAGACCACGAAATAGACCAGTTTTTCTTCTCGAAGAAAAAGTGGCGCGAGAGAAGGGCGCACACAACACAGTATAAAAAAAAAAAAAAAAAAAACCAAAGCCAGCCTAGGGCCTCGGGGAGTTGGCCCCAGACAATAGGAGCGACGGTAGAGGCAGGTCCGGAGCTGGGGAAGCGGGGGTGGAGTCTCAGACAGCACCCGGGCAATCGCGAACTGCGCTAGCTGCAGGAAAGGAGGGACGGATGACAGAACCGGGGTGTCGTGGGGGGACCACCGTGTATTGATGCGGGGGGGAGGAGGGGTATAGTAACAGTGCAGCAGCTTGCAAGGCTTTGCAGAGCTGGGGCGATGTTGGTCCCTTGATTGCAAAGAGTTGGATGCGCAGGGAATCCCGGGGCCAGGTGCAGGCCAGGCTCCCCTCGGGATCGGTGACGCGTCCGCGGGAGCCCCGCAGGTGCCGGGGCCGAGCTCGAGCCGTGGCGGGTTAACTTACTTTGAGGAGGCAGCTGTTGAGGGGTGCGGGCACCGAGGTGCGGTGGATCACCAGGTCCTGGCCCGGGTTGTGCACGTCGCAGATAAGCTCCAGCACGGCGATGCTGCGGGCCGTGGACACCGACACGCGGTGGTCCTCCGACCAGGCCAGTGGCTCCAAGCCGCTCACCGCGTACTGCAGCTTCACGGCCGGCTCCCGCCGAGTCACCATGAGACGGAACGCGGCGCTGGGCCCGGGGGCCGCTTCGGTCGTCGGCTCCTTCCCGCCCCCTTCGCCCTCCTCCTCGGGGGACGGCGAGGGCTCTTCAGCCGTGGGCCCCACACGGGCCTGATCCGCCTCGCTCATCTTGCTCGGGGCGCAGAGGTCGGGTTCCCGAGCGCACAGAGCCCTCGCCACCGTCCCCCCCCCAACCCCGGCCGCCCCCAGCACCACGGCGCCACCCCCAGCACCCTCCGCGGCCGTTTACTCCCCTCAGGTCCCGAGCGCCACCGAGCCAGAAAGGACCCCGCCGTTGCTAAGCAACGTCACCCTGCTAGGTGGCCGCGGAGCTGCCTGTCTGGAAAGTGCGCTCCGGGAGGGTTGACCCGCGCCGCGCCTGCGGGTGAGAGGAAAAGGTGGGAAATCCCTTTGCTAGACACTGGGTGCCAGGCTCAACTAAGAACCCGAGAAAGAGTGAGTCTCGTGTGCGTGACTGAGATGCTAAGACCAGCGTGGCGGCTGAGGGAGACCCCCGCCAGGTGGGCGGCACGCGGCCTCTTCCGGTTTCTGAGGCATTCGGGGCTTCTTGGCTCCGGCCGGTGTGCGTGCTGCCGCGGTTCCCGGACCCGGAAGGGGCGGTGGCGGCGACCGGGCAGTAGCTGAGAAGTAGCTCACCATCCACGTGCTGCTCGGGCTTCTGTCTCGGCCCGCAGCTCCGCGCCCGGGCCATGGCTACCGCCTGCAGCCCGCTCCCAGACCGGCCTCATAGGACTTACGTCGGACGCCCCCCGGGCCAGACGAGGCGGGTAAGTTCAACCGCAGCCAGGGAGCTGTGGCGCTGATCAGATCGAGTTGAGTTCCTTTAAAAAAATCCCCTAAAAGGGGATTCGAAACAGGGTTTCTCTGTGTTAAAGTCCTGGAACTAGCTCTTGTAAACCAGGCTGGCCTCGAACTCACAGAGATCTGCCTGCCTCTGCCTCTCGAGTGCTGGGATTAAAGGCGTGCCGCACCACGGCCCCGCTCAGGTCGAGTTCTTAAGAGTATCTAGAGAGACCGGCGGGATGCTCGGAAACAGCCGGGAACCCCGCTTTGGGGGCGAGAGCCTGGAGGGCTCCTGAAACTAGCTGGAGAACTAGTTCTATGGGCTTAGGATCGGAGGCTGTAAGAACTGGTTAAGTTCCTGAGACTGACTGGCGGTCTAGTCTTTTAGGGTAAGGATTGGAGGCTGAGATGTACCCAAGCTGGAAAACAGTGCCTAAGACCACCTTGCAGATTTTAACTCCCGAGCTGTTCCTTCCGCTGTATAAGGTTCAGCTCTGTTAGGAATGGGGACTGGACTCATTTCTTTAAAAAGCTTTTAAAGCCGAAGTTTTCGTCCAAGTAGCAGGGAAAGAGTATACAGTCATCATAATCTGTTGCCTAGAAAGGAGAACGGTGACTTAAAACGAACCCTGCAGGAGCAGAAAACTGGTTTTAGGGTTGCTGGTTTGTTGTCTAGAAAGTCTGTTACGTAGTCTGTTGGAAATTCATACATGATCAAAGATCAGGAACGATGTGATTGGAAGTTACACTCCCCCTCCTTCCCAGACACCTTAAAGATACTATGTAATTTCATGGAAAATTGAAGACCAAATTGCGGGTCAGTTCAGATCCACCAGTGTTTTGAAGATAAACTTCTTTGCTCATCTAACACTCACTGCAGAGTTTCACTTTTGTTAGGAAGAGGGAGGGACCTTCCTGAGCCTAGGTGCTTAGGAGTAGGGAGTCTTCAGCAAGTCATTGGTGTAGCTGAGTCTGTGTTTGAGGAGAAATACACAGACAAGTCAAGAGGGTAGTGGGGGGGGGAGAGCAGCATTTACAGTAAGATGACCTGAGCTGTCAGACACCAGCTTAGTAACACTCTAGCCTATGACCTTGGGGGAGTTCCAAGTTTCTCCTTCCATAATAGGAACCCTAATTTGTTTCTTAGAAAGTTGTTATAAAGCTCCAATGGGATAATAGCTGCAATAACTCTGTATATTGTCTAGCCCTTAGATAGTGTCAGTAATGAAAATAAAGGCAATATTGTTGCCATTTGGGGAAGTAGATGGCTGTATCAGGTCAGCAACATCGGATCAGGGTGGTGCTGTGCCATTTGAAGGGCCCCAAGAAGGCTGTACCTTGCTCACCTGGTACATGCAAGGCTTTTGAGTTCCATCTCCAACAATACAGAAAGAAAATTCCAAAATTTTATTGAGTGAGCAGACTAAGCAGATTATCTGGTTTTCAATGACTTCAACTGGTGTTTCAAAGTGATTGGTCAAGAGGTAACACAGGCTGGGTGTGGTATATATGCCTTTAATCTCAGTACTCAGGAGGCCAAGGCCTTTGGATCTCTGAGTTCGAGACCATTCTAGTCTACGTATGAGTTCCAGGCCAGGCCAGCAAGATCCTCTCTCAAAAAAAGAAAAGAAAGAAAGGAAAAGACCCCCCCCCCCCCAAAAAAAAAAGAGGAAGAAGAAAAGGTAATACAGGCCAGTGAGTCTGCTTGGTGGTAAAGGTGCTGCTGTCCAGCCTGAGGACCTGAGTTTACTCCTCAGGACCTGGTAGAGGTAGGAGGAGAGAAACAACTTCTCATAGTTGTCTTGTGGCCTTCCTGTGCTGGCCATGACGTATGTGCTTTCACACACACAGCAATACAAGAGAATGCTGCAGGGATCCATAGAGGCCTGACTGTGTCTGTGCTTCGGCCTGTGTATCCAAATGGGAGTGAAGATGTGCTGAGCAGATTTGCTCATACTGGGAACTCCGGGTGGGTAACAAAAAGTACTCTGGATTTGGAAGGTCCTTCAGACAGCTTAAATTGGGTTGCTCTGTCTTCATACTGAACAAAATACTTTTTTTTCCTTAAGGATATTCTGCTTATTGAAGTAATACAGTTTAATTTAAGAAAAATTAGAAGATACAACCCTGCCTAGAGTTGCCATACCCAGAAATAACTTTTAACATTTTGGTATATAGCTTTCAAAAAACCATAGCTATAATATTTTCTGACCAAATAGGATATAGTTAGTCAGGCATCTCAGATTTATTTTCATGGAATAGCGTGGTACATTCTGAAATTTAGGGAAGACTGGCCAAAGGTAAAGGTGAATCTAAAGCTGAGAAGATGGGAAGAGGTTGTACTCTGGAAGCTTCCTAGATCTCTTTCCGCAGATTTTTCAGTGTTAGCTTCACAGTGGTGGAGAGCCTGCTCCAGTTCACTCCAAGCACTTATTTTGTTTGTTTATGACAGGGTCTTAACTCTGTAGCCTTGTGACCTGGAACTCACTTTGTAGCCCAGCAGCAGCCCTCCTGCCTTAGTCACATGAGTGCTGGGCTTACATGTGTAAGCCACCGTGCTGGCTTCTGATACTTGCTTGTAGAGAGACCTTGACTTTCCTTCTGTAAAGGGTGAGTAGGATGCTGTGGTTGTAAAGTCTGTGTACCACCTGGTATGTTTAGTCCAAAGAAGGGGAAAGGAAAGGTGTGTAAAGGAGGCGGTAAGCTTGCTCCGTTTGGCTGCAACAGCATTCTTCAGACTGGTCCATGGGTGCTCCAGGAGGCAGGTCTTGTCTTCATTGGCAGAAAAACTTCCTGAACCTGAGATTGACCTGTAGCAGAATAAGTTGAATCCTGAGGTAGAGAAGGGTTATGGTCAGAGGCTGCTGGGCCAGCTCAGGAAACCTGTGGTAGGGTGACCTTCAGGCCTTTGAAACTGTCAGGTGAGGCGTGCCAATCCCATGCTCTCTGACAAATGGCTTCATTTTTCTTTAACCTGAAAATTCATAAACTTGGGAACTTTGCAAAAACAAATTTTAAGATGAAGTAGGCTAGTGTTCACTTTATTACTATTCAGTACTTGAAATTGTATTTATTGAATTCCTTAAAGGAATTCTTAAGTCGCCAGGAAAAGAGACTTGTCCTTTTTCATTGGTAGGTTGGTTTGAAACTGACAGTCTTGGTGAAACAAGACAGTGTGTAAGCTGTTCTTCACTGTTTCAAGTGAAGAAGAAAATATATTCTAAAACTCAGAATTAGAAGTACCAGCTATTATATATACTTGTGCAGACTGGAAGAAAAGGCCAAAGAAAATAGAAGAATCTGATGTTTCTTGTAGGGCAGTGGTTCTCAACCTTCCTAGTGCTGTGACCTTTTAATGCAGGTTCTCATGTTATGGTGACCCCCTAACCATAAAATTGTTTTCATTGCTACTTCATAGCTGTAATTTTGCTACTGTTATGAATCATAATGCAGATATCCAGTATGCAGGATATGTGACCCCTGTGAAAGGGTTTGTCGACCCTGGGGTTGAGAACCACTGATCTAGGGAGAGTTTGGGCACCATGCATTAATTACATCTGTGTTGTGAGAATAAGCAACAGGCAAGAAGTGCCTAATGATGTATGTCTATGATCAGCAGTCAGGCAGGGGCTCCGAAGGCGAGGAGGGTTGGGAACAATATGATGGAAGTGATGGATGGAGCGGCATTCTCATTTGGAGTGGGGACGGCAAGTAGGAACTGACTCCAGACCATCTGAGTTGGAGCAGCTTGAAAGGAAAGGATGACAGATCCAAGCCCTAGGGAAGAACAGTAATGACAGTTTCCGCTTCCTGGGCATGAGCAAGGATTCAACATCCCATTCACCTCTCCAGTCTCTTCTTAATATCCTTTATTGGTAGAAAAAAGCATATTTTGTTTCCCTGTGTGCCTCTGTTCTCACACAAAAAACAGACTCCGAGGGGTGTGGTTTGACTTAGTAAGCCTGCCTACTTCACAAGGTAGGTTCTTGCTTCCCTTAGAACAGACTGAATTGGTGAATGTCAGCTGGCAGAACACCTCTCTCTCCCGATTCCCGCTCTCATCTTGGATGACTTAACGGTTTAGGTGGATGGAGGTCTTGCAGATGAATGGACTGAGATTGTGTGTCTCTCCCCTCCTCCACCCCCCACCCCCCCATTTCAGATGAAGCCAAAGAATCTGGTTGTAAACCCTAAACTGATGGTTGGCATATGGGGCATAATGATCTCTGCAGGAAGAGATACATTCTGTGGGCAGTCAGGCTTCACTCTGAAGATTGTCTTCATGGACTAATGCACCTCTTCTTGATCTTTCCTTTTGGAAACAACGCAGCAAGCAGAGGCTACCAAAAGAAAGCACCAAGTGTCCAGTGATGCTCCACCAACAAAACGGAGGAACAAAGAAATATCCTCTCTTTCAGCCAAGAAAACCAGTGATAAA